ATATACATACATATATATATATATATATGTATGTATATGTATATATATGTATGTATATGTATATATACTCGTAATTTATTTTAGTAATCTAGTCATTTTAAGGCCAGTCAGTCCAGTATTTAATGAATGGCTGTTGTAAGTTTTTATAACTACCTGTGCTTAAAATAAAATAAATTTGAATTTAACAAAATTATATAAAGACAGGAACACGTCATGGGATATTTGAAAACAACTGGACTTTTGTGTTGCTAAAAGTACTTGAACATGACATAACTGCATGTTTTTTACAAATACATAACTAGAGAAACAAAATAAACAAAATCAATGCAAAATACATAAATGACTTGTTCTATTTGATCACTAAAAGCATCTTCAGTCTTTATTACAGTACAGTTACATTGCAGTATGGTCCTGCAGTATATATTAACAAGCTTAGTGCCTTCTCTTCACCACAACCTTGTTAATTTTAATAAAATCCGGTGTAATTTTTAAATCTGCTGCTATAGAAAGCATTGTGAGGTTTTGGAGAAAAACAAATAAAAGTTCAACAGAGAAACGCCTTTTCTATAATATTACACATCTTTCAGTGTTTTTATTGTTTATCTCCAAGAACTAAAGTAACAGAAACAGCGAGTCACACAGTAAAAAGAGACTCAAACAGGCTCTCGTGGTGTCTGATCACGTTTTGGCACAACGCCCATCCTGCAGCGGCGTGGAGGAGGACTCAACTCAGCTGTGTTGACTTAGAGCACAATACATTTAATGTGTGACAGAAATCTCCCTCAAACATGATGAATTAAATCAGTTTAATAATCCTCCATTAAAATTCTCCATTTTTGCAAGAAATAAACAAACATCCTCCAAGCTGACACTCTGTCAAAGAGTAAAACAACAAATAGAGTAGTCGATACAGTTTATATGTTGGTTGTTCATTTGAGTGTTCTTAAAATAGGTTTGGGGCTGCAGCATTGTTTCTGCTTGCTACAGAACACCCCACCCCCCCACCCCAAAAGGGGATGCACCCCACAGTTTGAGAACTACCGGATATCGCCCAGTTTTAACTTCAGCTTTATTCTCACTGGGGTATTTTTCTTACCTTGTCTATTCTGTCATAAAAACTTTCTTTAAAGTTAATTTAAACATTCCAGACTGTGTTTTTTTTAGAAGGGAACAATGAAATGTGACATCCAGACTCTTTGGGTTTTCTTCATTTCCTGTCTTACTCAACACTAAGACAGGTCCTAACTGTTTTTCCAGTTCCTCATATTAAACTGGCTCCTGACTGTAGAGTCAGCGTTAAATAAAGACAAGACAGTGCTATTTCAGAACACTGAAGAATCTGAAAGTGTTGCTGCGGTCTCATTGGTTTCTCCACTCACTCTCCCTCGCAGATCACTCCTGTGGAAGACGGCATGAAGAGTGTCCTCCCAGACTCGCTCCACATCTTCAACGCCATCAGCGGCACGCCGACCTCCGTCACCATCCAGGGGGTGCCGCACTCGGCCTCGGTGATATGATCCGGATCAGGGCTTGTATATTCACTGATGAGGCCCATGTTGCTGCTGGGACCAGAGACTGCTCTCACCCTTGTTTTGCACCCCGGTCGTATCAGACGACCACAAACGAGGCACTGGACTTTTTATCACACTTATGGTGGGCCTGTTGACGGTTTAGACGACAGCACTGAGGAGAGGCCTGAGAAATGGAGAGGACTCTATGCAGAAATATCACGACTATTTTTTTTTCTGTTTGATTGTTTTCTGCGTTATGGACAGAAATTAAGTTTGATGAGACGAAGAATAAGCAGTGTTTTCCAATGAAAAATTCCTTTCGGAATTTTTTTTTTACATGCATGTTGCTACATCACCCAGAAAAATCCCGTTTTTTCTTATTTTGATAATATTTCACAATATGTTTCTTATGTACAGTATTCCACTTTTGTAAGCCACTGTATCAATAAATGCTGCATACGTCGAAGCTCATCTCCTTCATCGTCAAGAGACGTTTTCAGAAAAGGCAGTTTTGCAAAGTTAGCATCTTAAATCACTTTATTGTCTTAGGAGTTTTGAAATATTTAAAGCCATTGCATAAAGTATATTCAACATTGTTCATTATTGTATATAGAAAAAGACTGTGCAATATCTGCAGAGTATCTCGCGGTGTGGGAATCAGACACTGTAAGAAAAATGTTCACCTTCTTGCCAAAGCGATGAGGTGTTGGGAAAAGACACTTAACTTACTGTGGGAGAAAGCTTTTGCTGTTTTATGTTGTTTTTTTTTACTGTTCAAAGAAATGTTTTATATCTGAGCAGCATTGGATTTTTTATATATTTAACACAAGTCACTGTTCTGCTGTAAGCTGAGATGTTCCCTTCTTCTTTTCTTTTAATTAAAAACACCCATTTCTCTTCTTTTGCACTCTTGTGTCTGAGACTGTCAGAAAATGCCTGCATGATTGTGTGTATTTTGTCTGTTAGCAAAATTTCTCCAGAACAAAAAGGCGGTTTTCAATGAAACTCCCAGTATTCCTTTCAAACTGATTACCAGTTTGCTTCAAGATGGCTGCCACAGCTAAATGACTTTAGAAAACACCAAATTAGCTCTAACTCAACCATTCTGACAAACGACGTGATAGTAACTGAAACACTTGAAATCTACAGATGTACTAAGTTTTTGCTGAAAACATTGGCATTTAGTGATGGAGTCAACCCTGCCTGGCTGTTAGCAAAATATCCCATGAACTGATTATCAGAGTTTTGTGAAGTAATCACTGGATGGTTCTTTACAGCAGATTACCTTTTGATGTCAACCTAATTCAAGATGGCTGCCACAGGTAAACTAAGAACATCAAAGTTCTTGCTCAATAATCCATTCATCCATCCATCCATTATCTTTACCCGTTTATTCCATTTTGGGTCACGGGGGTCGCTGGTGCCCATGTCCAGCAATCACTGTGCGAGGGGCGGGGTACACCCTGGACGGGTCGCAAGTCCATCACAGGGCCACACAGAGACAAACGAGACAAACAACCATTCACTCTCTCACTCGTACCTAGGGACAATTTAGAGTTACCAATCAGCCTAACATGCATGTTTTTGGTCTGTGGGAGGAAACCGGAGTACCCAGAGAAAACCCACGCATGCACGGAGAGAACATGCAAACTCCACCCAGAAAGGCCCCTGGACCGGGGTTTGAACCAAGGACCTGCTCGCTGAGAGGCAGCAGCTCTACCAGTTGCGCCACCGTGCTGCCCTGCTCAATAATCTAGGTAGAAAATCCAACAAAGTTCAGTCAGGTCATCTGGACGGTTTCTTTTTTGTTTTGTTTGTTGTTGTTTTTTGGAGACGTTAAGAATCCGTCCAGATGACCTGACTGAACTTTGTTGGAATCTGAAAATGTCTCTGACTTGGTCAGTTTTGCAAATCTTGAGCTAAAAATTGGTAGGAAGGTAGTTGAGGGTCATCTCCAACACATAATATGAGCACGAACAGACCGCTCAGTATCACATGTTATTTCAGACGAAGATTTTAGTTATGGAGTCTGGGCTAAAAGGCCTCGGGTGATATGCATTTTTTCAATGAATGCTAAGCCTTTAATTTATTAAATTCAGAGTCGGAGTTTCTTTATTTGTCATTCGCACTACATGTGGTACATGTGGTGGAACGAAATTGTGTACACAGTGTCCCAGTTACATCCAACAAAAGTATAAAATGTAAAAGAAAACCAGTAATAACATCTAAGATATGAACTAAGGAAAACATTAACTAAGAATACACTATGCAGTAGTAGTACAAAACAATATGTCGAACAGCAGCACGAACATGAGTCTGTGTGAGCAAATGAGCACGAATGAACACAGCAACATGAAACAGATCAGCAGCAACATGAAACAGATCAGCAGCAACAATGAAACAGATAAGCAGCAACATGATGTGATTTTTCATAGTGATTATTCTGGTGAGTCTAACAGCTTCAGAGTAGAAGCTGTTCCTCAGTCTAGTGGTTCTACACTTAATGCTCCTTAACCTCCTTCCTGAGGTGAGTGGGGCAAAAAGTGTGTGTGCTGGGTGAGTGGGGTCCTTCATGATGCAGGTGGCCCTCTTCCTGCATCTAGAGGTGTAGATGCCTGTGACGGTGGGGAGGCTGACTTATTCAGTGAATGCTAGGTCTTTAATTTATTAAAATGTTTTTATTTATTGTGTTAATTTTTTCTTGCCTTATTCAAACTGCACATGTTCAGCACCCTATCTCTTTAGTTCACACCCTCTGTACAAAAAGCAGTTCAGTCAGCAGTGAGAAAGATCAATGGCTAATAAAGCAGCAATAAAACGTGATTGCCCACTCCCTCTGGGGAAGAGAAAAAGATAAAAGTATCTACTGGTTTCTGACTGAATCCCAAAGGAAAATCAAAGTGCGACAGGAATCAAACATGGCTGGTGAGAATATGAACAAATCTCATTTTTCTGCATTTACGAATGAGCAGATTCTTATTAGAAAAGTAAAATTCTAATAACTTTTACACTTTGCTGTGCCATTACTGTGTTTTACACAATAAAACACAGTAATGGCTTGAAGAATAATAAAAATACATATAGGAGAAAAGGAGCAACCACTCGGTTTACCTTAAATCTTCTCACGTTCTTTTTAAATTTTGCTGCATTATTTATTTTTTGCTCGCAGACCATGAAGATCTCAAAAAGGAGAAGAAGAACAAAGGAACGGTAACGACCTGTGTTTATTGCTATTACTGTGTAGCATAACTACAAGACTTAAACGATCATTTTTACAAATCAAGCAGATACAACTGCAACATTTTCACTAAATTAGTACAGTTGCCTGACACTTGGTGTAGTTTCAAGGTGTTGATGCTAGAATATTTTAGTTTATTGTTTAAATCAAATGGAGTCCACATAAATAGTTTACTACTAATTTGTTTGTTTTTTTATCTCATTTAAACACAAAACTTATTAGCATAAAAACCTGGGCATTGTTACATTTTTGTAGGGAAACGTTTTAAATATTTGTCCCATATATAAAAGACAAATAGAAAATGTCAACGCATGCGTCATTTGTTTTGCATTCAAATGTACTAAAAATGCTTTTTGCATAATGGAGAATAACTATTTGATTATATTTAGAATTAATATATTGTTTTGTTAGTGATTTATTTTGGTGTTGCTATATTGAATGATCTATTTTAGAATTAACTATATAAACTTCAAATATGTTATTTATTTATTTCAAACAGAGTAAAGAGGTGTTCGGATACCCGCTCAGCATCTTCTTCATTGTTGTGAACGAGTTCTGTGAGAGGTTCTCCTACTATGGGATGAGAGGTGAGGGGTTTGTGTATTCTCCCCCTGATTTTTTTACTTTAATGCGGTTAGCCTGAATATGTTGTAGATGTTATTTCAGACAAAGCTGTGGTTGTTGCCTTTCCACAGCGGTGCTGGTTCTGTACTTTAAGTACTTTTTGAAATGGGACGATGACTTGGCCACCTCCATCTACCACGTCTTTGTGGCTCTCTGCTACCTGACCCCCATTCTCGGGGCCATCGTGGCCGACTCCTGGCTGGGAAAGTTCAAGTAAGATGTTGATCCTTTGAAGCTGGATTTTGCAGAATGATATATGAAAACATTAACATCTTACCTGCTGTAGATAGCTCTTTAAACATTTTCAGTTTGGAGAAACAAAGCTTAATACGAGGGTTTTTAGGCTTGTTGGGAATGGATTTCTTACATCTTTAAACTTAAATCTCAAATAATTGTATGCAAAAAATATTTGCACGCTGTCAGTTTTGTATTAAAGTTTGTTAACAACCATTTCCTGGTTGTTTGCAAGCACAAGCAATAACAACAACAGCTGGCTGTAGCACTCCAGACGCAGCCTGAGGCATGTCTGACAGGAACTTTAAAATTTTTCTGCAATAGTTGCACAATGCAAAATTGACAATAGTTTCAAAGCACCGTTGCAGAAGCGTTTAAAATTTTTTTTAGATTGGGGCTGTTTTAAAACAGCATTCTACTTTGGTTTTGTCCCCACTCAGACTAGTCATTAGCTCATCAGTTTGGTCTGAATTCAACTCTGTCGATAAATTCCTCCAATCTGCACTATACTTTGAAATGTTGATGCCTGAAATGTCTTTTTTATCTTTTTTTTTCCCCAGACTATTTTGTCTATGTTAACAAAAGTTATAAATTCCCCACACACACAAAAAAACCTCTATATATCCAGTTCATTTATTTTTGTATTTGCTCCCACTGTTTCATTGGGCAAAGACTATAATCCAGTGTATTTATCACATACAGCAACAGAGTAAACTAATATTTCATCTAAATATGTGGATAAAAAAGCCTAAAGTTTGGACTTTTAAAGATTTGATGATAAAAGTTTTACCTGAAAACAATTTAAATGTCTATTTTCTGTAACATGTCTCTCACAGGACTATCATCTACCTGTCCATCGTTTACACGATTGGCCAGGTGGCGATGGCGATCAGTGCAATCCATGACATCACCGACACAAACAGAGACGGGACCCCTGACAACATGACCTTTCACATGTAGGTCTTAATATTAAAGTCACTGTCGAGGATACATTTCACCACATTTGTCCTCGTTTTTCATTTGCTTCTTCTTTCCTCAAGAGTTTTGTCTATGGTTGGCCTCTTCCTCATCGCCCTCGGCACCGGCGGCATCAAACCTTGTGTGGCTGCGTTTGGTGGAGACCAGTTTGGTGATCACCAGGTTAGATTAGTACCACCTGCCCTCATCTGTTATCGTCTAATGTTTGATCTTTGGCTGCAGTTTGCACCTTGAAACATCCGTAGTTCGAACATTTTATAGCTCACGAGCTCTCTCTTAATCTTTTATCTGCTTTTTGTTGCCGTTTATCAAATCGTGTTGTGCTGTAAATCTTAATCCCACTGTGTTTACACTGAAGTAAACATGCCATGCAACTTGCTGGTCGTTCTTGCACAAAATCTAATGGGAACATCATTCACTTTGTTTGCGATAGTGTGTTTGGCATAAAATTCTGTTTCAAGAGTAATATTTATGCATACAAGAAACACAGTTGAAACCATTTTGTGGCTCAAGAATGAGCTCAGGGAAGCATAAAACTATCAATGTATGTTGAAAAATGTAAGATTATTAGAAAATCTGGGGTTAGAGATGACAAATATCAAACACTATTTACCTCTAATTAGAAAAGTGCTCTGAGGCCACATTAGTAGTATTAGTAGTTGATTCAGTATCTTGACTAACCAGCTTTTACACTAAGAGAGGGCAATATTTAGATAAAGGTTTATATTGACTTAGTTAAACCAATTGAAGGGCCACTTGTTAAACTGTAAGAAAAACATCTGGGTTAACATGTCGGGAGAAACATTCATGATTTTTTCCCTTCAGATGGACAAGCCTCTAACATAAATAGCATATGCTTGTATGAGGTCTGTCTGTACATTTTGAATAAAGCGATATGCTTTTGGAATAGACTTTACAAAAAGATTCAGCATTTTGCATCTGTTTTTAAACCTCTTTTGAGGTAATTATACTGCAGCGTGTACACAATTAATGACCTTAACTTCTCATTTGTTCCTGAAAACTTGTAATTTTAGACAAACAATATTTTACTTAGTTTTTGGTCTCTATTGCACCAAGATTTGTCAATGAAATCCTGTTTTTTAGTGTTGTTTGTAATATTTTTTGTATATTTCAAAGCACCGAGGGTCAACTTGTCACAGTTTTGAGGGTCTCCATGGTGTCCTGGTGCAGTAATTTAATTTATCTCTTTGGATTTTCTTGTTTTTAGGTCTTAGCATCGTTTCAGATATCTTGCTTCTGCCTGGTTGTTTTCAGTTGTTATCAGCTATCTGTGCTTTGCTTGTTTAGCAGTTCATTTTTTGTTTTTCCCCATGTCCCCAGCCAGTGTTTTTTCTCAGCGTTACATGCACACGCGCATGAACAAACACATGCACACACACATGCACACACACACAGGTTTGTCTTGCTATCTTTATGTGGACTTTGCATTGACTTCCATTCATTTTTCATGCATTTCTATAGCCTAACCCTGACCTTTACCCTAACCTAACCATTACCAGTACATATCTAACCCTAAGACTAACCATTACCAGTACATATCTAATCCTAAACCTAATCTATCCTCAATTCACACATTAGTCCTAAACCTAACCCCTAACCCGCCAACGACATTTGAACCTTATGGGGACCAGGCTTTGGTCCTCACAGTGTAGTGTGTTCAAAATTGGTCCTCACAAAGTAACATAAACAAGTACACACACACACATTCATATGTAATTATCCCAGCTGCATTCATTCACTAATTCAATTTTTCTATATAAATTGTACTCATTTTGTCATTTGTGTGCAGATACTTGTATTTAATCCTCTGGTTCTGTTCTGGAGTTTAATGCATTATTAAATCAAAATGACTATATTTAATCTATAAAGGGCAATGACTGATTGAACAATGATTTATACACCTAAATGTTTTTAAATGTTCAGTTTATTCAAGTGCAGAAATCTGATTCTCATCATGGCACACAACAGGAAAGGTCACAGCAAAAACAATTTGGACTGATCTTATAAGAACTACGACTCTTCCTTTATTTATTATTTTATATTTTACAAGTGTGACTGAAAAAAGGTTTGCTAATGAACAGCACTGCTGACAGCCCCGACCAGAAAAGGACTTCTAAATCAGGGAACAGACGAAGCACAGAGTGAAAGTTCAAACTCCAAAGAGCACTGCACACAGCCAGAATCAAATCAGGCAGGAGATCACTGCTGCAACAAAAACTAGCTAAGAATGGGTTTTAAAAAAGATATGTAAGTGTATAGAAAAAGCACTAAAATACCATAACAAAACTCAAATAATGAGGCCTACACAGTGATGAAGAAGAGTTAAAATGTGCAGAATAAAAAAATATTTATTCAAGGGGCTGAAATGTTCAGATGCTGCCTTGACATTGTAGTAATATGCACTAAAAGTTACTTTATCTTTGTAGGAAAAACAAAGGAGAACATTCTTCTCTGTTTTCTATTTGTGCATCAATGGTGGGAGTCTTCTGTCAACCATCATCACTCCAATCCTCAGAGGTAAATGTGGCTGAGAGAAGCCTTAAAATCACTAAGAGAGTAGGTAAAAAACAAAATTAAAACAACTTGTCTGTTTCTATCTGAAGCCCAGGAGTGTGGCATCCACAGTCAGCAGCAGTGTTACGCTCTTGCTTTCGGAGTGCCAGCAGCGCTGATGGTGGTCGCGCTCAGTACGTGTTCATCCTAATGCAAAGGTTTTAGTTTTAAAGTGCGTGCAGAAACGCATCATTTTGCTCTGATGTTCTCTCACAGTCGTATTTATCGTCGGGAGTGGCATGTACTACAAAGCTAAACCAGAGGGGAACATCATGCTGGATGTGTGTAAATGTATCGGGGTAAGTCGTTTTCTGCATTAAACCCCATTTGAAATGATGTTTTGTGGAAAGATTATGAACAATCGTGTCTTATGTATAGCTCTTTGAGCAATCTCTCTTTACAGAAATAGAGTTTAATTCTGTTGGGATTGATAAACTGTTCATCATAGACTGACTGAAATCCTAATTTCTAAAATCCCATTTGTGTATTAGTTTGCCATGAAGAATCGGTACAGACACAGAAGCAGCAAGTACCCAAAGAGGGAGCACTGGATGGACTGGGCGGATGAAAAATATGATGTAAGTTTTTATTTTTTGGGGTTAATAATAGCTGTCTCTTCAGAGGGCCTGCACTTGTTCATTCTCTGTCTCTCTTTGCTGCAGAAACTCCTCATTGCTCAGATAAAAATGGTGCTGAAGGTCCTTTTCTTATACATCCCCCTGCCAATGTTCTGGACCCTGTTTGATCAAAAGGTAATTTTAAGCTATACATCTGTTTTGAAAGGCAACAGAATCTGTCTGCAGCAGTGCTAAATATTTTTTTTTATCACTTTTAAAGGGTTCGAGATGGACTCTGCAAGCCACCACAATGGATGGACATTTTGTAAGTTTGACGATACATGCATCATTTACATTCCCATCACTTACATTTTCATCATTTACATTTTCATCATTTACATTTTCATCATTTACTAAAGCAGTGGCTTCATGATATTCCTTCTTTGTGTCTGCAGGGGTCACTTGTCATCCAGCCTGATCAAATGCAGGTAAATAAATAAAACTTTGTCACTCCAATTCAGATTTATACTACTGTGTTGGAAAGGAGACTCACTCAACATTTGTTTGTTAAAGACATTCAACCCCATCTTGATCCTCACTATGGTGCCGATTATGGACAACTTGATTTACCCTCTCATCAAAAAATGTGGTCTAAACTTTACGTAAGTGAGACGTTCAAGAGATGTAATCTCTGTTTCTCTTTGTTTCCCATTAATCAGTAAGAACCTGCTTAGCTCCAGAATTAATAGCTGGACAATTAGTATCATTGTTAATGTAGTTTAGCGTCAACCTGAAACAAGTGGAAGTGGCTGCCTCTCTCACTCAACCCTTTCCACTTGTTTCAGGTTTTTTGCTAAACTACGTACATTATATATATATATGCATATGTTTACATATATACATATACATATAAGTACAAAAACATTTAGTGTAAACAGCTGCTGCTTTTAATGCCACCATATTGCCTCTATTTTCTGAACTGTTTTGCCTAATTGCCTTGAGCAACAGAAGTTCATGAGATTTTATAAAAATCATGATTCTGTTTTTGAATTCTGCTTTGCATTCTTCTTCTTCTTTCGGGCTGTCCCTCTTCAGGGGTCGTCACAGCGAGTCGTCCTGCATCTCACTCTGTCCTCTAAATCCTCTCTCCTCATTCCAACTACCTCCATGTCCTCTCTAACTGCTTCGTTATTTCTCCTCTTTGTCTTTTTCCTGGCAGCTGCATTTCTAACATCCTTCTACCAGTATACCCACTGTCAAACCACTATCCCTCCTCTGGACATGTCCAAACCATCTCAGTGTGGTCTCTCTAACTTTATCTCCCAGTTGTTCCTGTGCTGTACCTCTGATCTAATTCCTAATCTTATCCATCCTTGTCACTCCTAAGGAGAACCTCAACATCTTCATTTCTGCCATTTCCAGTGCTTTCTCATCTTTTTGTCAACACTACTGTCTCCAAACCAAAGACAGTTGGTCTCACTCCTCTATTGTAAATCTTTCCTTTGACCTTTGCTGCCACACTTATGTCACATATCACTTCAGAAACTTTTCTCCATCCTCTCTTCTTCAAGTCTTTCCACACTGGAAGACTGGTTATATTTCAAGCAATCTAAATCAAACTATCAAGGCTAAAGGTAAAAAAAAAAAATAATGAAGAGAAAAAAGAAGATATTTCTAAAATAAATATTTTGGATGCTGACATTTTAAACAGACATGTAACAAAACTTTATGTCAATTTAATAGACCGCTGAAAAGAATGACAGTGGGGATGTTTCTGGCATCTATTGCTTTTGTCTGTGCAGCTGTGGTCCAGCTTCAAATTGATGTAAGTCGAGAACAATGAATACTTTTTTCTCATGTACCAGTACATTAAATGACAAGACAGCTGAGTGGTTAATTTAATCTAAATAAATCATCAGTGCTGTTTTTTAATTTTCAGAAAACTTTGCCCGTCTTCCCCTCCGCCTCCCAGAGTCAGTTAAAATTAATGAACATGGGAAATAAACCAGTTACAGTTCAGTTACCAGGCATAGAGCCGGTGAATCTTCTTGCAAATCAGGTATGTTTATTTTACTGATAACAACAAACTTTATAAATACATTTTACATTCATAATTCAAAAGCGTAAAACGAGTCATTAACCCAGAGTTTGCTCTGCTTACCCTACAGGTCAGCGATGACTATTTCACTTTTGAAGAACAACAAATTGACGTCACAATAGACAAAGCTTCAATTACACAAAGCATCTTTTTGGCCAAAAATGAGCGACAAACGCTTCTCATCCCCTCAAATATCAGTGACGTGTGGCTGCTGGTGAGTAAAAAACACACAATGAAAATAAAGACACATAGAAGAGAATCTGATGCGTAAATTAATAAAATAAATTCTCCTCTTAGACGGAGGATTTAACTTCGAAGCCACAAGAAGGAAAAAATGCAATCCGGTAAGGTTATTTAGTAATCTTCAAGACATTTTAATAGCTTAAATTGATCTGTGTCCATATAAATGCAACCCTTAGTTTTCTGTGCCGTGGAAATTGTTGAACTAGTTCTAGTTTTATCAACTCTTGCTTCATATATTTCAGGTTTGTAAACGGGATGAGTGTAGCAGTGAATGTCTCCACTGCTGGAGTCTTGTTTGAACAAATTGAGCCCCTTTATTTTTCCAACTACTCCACGATAAAAAATGGAAGGTAACAGATCCTCATCTGCCGAGTATTTTATTACCACAGAGATTAATATGAACTTAAAGCTGAACAAGTTCTCAAAGATGTTTCCTTCCTTGGTCATCAGGACAATGTTCACCTTGCAGAGCGGTTCACAGTCGTGTGAATTCAGCAGGGATTTTGGATTTGGAAGTTCATACACGTACTTCTTACCCAGCACTTTTACCTTTGAGCCAAATGTAAGTTTTAGACCTAAATATAATGGTGTATGTGGGAAATTTTGCATTTACACATGTTCCAAAATACTAAATTCTTAGCAAATACTGCACAGTGTATGAGTAACTTCATGTTTCATAACTCACCAACAGGGAGCAAAATTATGTGCAGTAACAATGGCAATAACAAATATATGCTACAACTTCACCACCTTGCAAACAGAAAGTTAAAACTAGCTGTGATGTACAGTAAGCTTGAAAAAAGAAGAAAAAACAATAGTCACATGCCTCTTATTTCCTCATCATGAATAATTATTTAATATATATGTATGTGTATATATGATATATTTATGTTTATGTTTTCCTAAACACACCTATCAAACACCCATTTTGTCTTATGTCAATCATTTTTGATGACCTATGATGTAAGTCGTCAAAGCTAATTGCTCTTAGCAAACACTAAATGACTCCAGGTCGGGTAATTTTACAAACACTGTGCTGAAATTTGGTGTGGTAGTAGCTGAGAGTCATCTCCTACACATACTCTGAGCACTGAGATATCATGTGACACTTTTGTTTAAAACTTTGACATCAACGCAGCAGGCAATATGCATTCTCTCAAGGAATGCTGGTTTCATTCTACAATAAACGGCGTAATTTGTGCCATAATTACTGTTTTGGTGAAACGAAGCGACGCTCTTGGTTTGAACTTTCAGTGAGATTTGCTAAAACTTTTCAGTAGAAAACTAATTTTGACCTGTATTTATCAAACTGATTCATTTCAGTGTCAGGTGTCCATAACTGAAGCGGAGGACATCAAGCCCAACTCGGCTCCCATGGCTCTCCAGATCCCGCAGTACTTCTTCATCACTGCTGGTGAAGTGATGTTTTCTGTGACTGGTTTGGAGTTCTCTTACTCACAGGTACAAAAATCATTTCAACATCATACGTCAGTGCAGCCATTAAAGATTTCAAGATACATGTTTATTGGTTATAGTCAGGGCTTAATATGAGCCGGATCTTGCCGGAATAGGATCCGGGAACTCTCTTATTTTGACAGGGTGCATTCCAGTAACTGTTTGCTTGGATCCAGTAACTCTTAGGCTTAATAAAAATAAAGTTACAAACAAATATGACTGCTTTGAATGAATAAAACTTATATTGGATATGTAAACTGAAAATAATTACATAAACACTCATTTTAAACACAACCGCCACTTACGACTTCTTAATATCAAATACGAGCTGCCTCTTCAAGTAGCATTTCCACATCTACCCTTAAAACATCTCCACCCCTAAAAGAGTGGCGGGGTGAGTGCTGAACGAGCTAACCAGGCAGTCGTACGCGGGCAGGAGCTCATAGGCAGCTGCAGGCAGGCGCCTGGAGGTTTCACACATAATCGGACAACAACGAGCAGGGACAGTGTTGGGCTTGGTTTCAAGCCCGGCTTACTTGACGGTTCTGTCAAGTAATGGGGAGGGGGGGAGGATGACAGAAGCAGAGTGTTTACAAATGTAGGTAAACGTAGATGTTTAACAACCCGTTAAAATAAACCAAAATGAAGAAATCACATCTACTTTATTCAAGCAATTTTTTTTATTTTTTTTTTGAGGGGGACTCCCAGACCACCCCCTCCTGGCCTGCCAGACATTTGCGTTCCAGCATTGATCGGTTTATAAATTAAGCCTTGGTTATAATATTATAAAAGTGAAAAATATTGATTAATCCCATTTATTTAATTTGGAATTCATTCATTCAACCTTTATTTATGCAGGTTAGTCTCATTAAGCCTCGAGGACTCATTTACAAGAGAGACCTGATTTAAACAAAGAACACAGATGACAACAGTAGACGATCATAAAAAAAGCATATAAAATGAAAAGTAAATGGGAGAAATTCTATTTTTTTTTTTAAAGAAACAAAAGCAGCTAGGTTAAAGCGATGTAGAATATTAAAAACTAGAACATGTCTGCATTAGTTTTGGCCATGAACTTAGTAAATGTTTGAAGCCACTTAGAGAGGTCAAGGTCGAGAGCTTCAGATCTTTTTGCAAGATATTCCAGAAAACAGGAGCGGAGGAGAAGGCCATTTGCCTAGTTCAGTCCTCACTGAGGAAACACTGCATGTAATAATGTCCTGAGAGCGCACGCTGTAGCTGCACTCACGCAGTGACATGTAGGAGGAAATGTATGAAGGCAGCAGACCAAGAAGTGATTTAAACATGAAAATGTACCAGTGAGAGAGTCTGCGTGAAGTTAATGATGAACAGTTAACCAGTGAATGGTGCAGTGCAGCAGCTACAGCCAGTTATGAATCTTAGCGCACCGTGTTAGACAAGAAATGATGTGCTTGAGGCAGGAATAAAAGCAAGCCAGTGTAAAAACATATGTAGCACTGAGAGCCAAACTGTGATAGACGACTTGTAGTATTAACAAGAACGAGCTGAGGAGCACAAGAACAATTTTATGAAGTTGACTTGGTCTTCTTATTTTCTAGATCTCCATCAAACTGATTGTTTGTGATGTGCCATTTTCATAACGAGGCCTCTTTTGTACAAATGATGGCCATTTCTGCTTTCAAATCAAACAAAACCATATGTCTCTCTGCCAGAGCAAGTGCAAAAGAAACTGTATTACATGTTAATGACAGCTGAGCAGCATAATTATCTATAGACTGATTCTAAAGCGCAGTCTGGCTGTTGTTGAAGGATTGAACTTACTGGGCATAAAATGTCTGCTGCTGACAGCCAGATATACAACTATATAATACGTTAAATAGGTGGTCATAAAGTTATGATTGATTTTATTCAACCATTCAGAAATTCAGACAAGAACAGCTTAAATTCTCAATCTTTTTTTGTTTGTTTGTTTGTTTATTGTCTTTATAAATTTATTTAAATTCTTCTTTATTTTTGTCAACAAGGCACCTAGTAACATGAAGGCAGTGCTGCAAGCAGGCTGGCTGCTGACCGTTGCTATTGGCAACATTATTGTCCTGATTGTGGCAGAGCTTGCAAAGATTCCCAAAAAGGTAGACAAAAAAAATGCAATCTGACATTCATGACAATGAAAACAACACATGCTGTGATATTCAAGTTAAACTCCACATCTCTCTCCTGTTGCTCCAAAGTGGGCCGAGTACATCCTGTTTGCCTCTCTGTTGGTGGCTGTGTGCGTCATCTTCTCCTTCATGGCATATTTCTACACGTACATCGATCCTGCGGAGATCGAGGCCCAGTTCAGAAAGAAAGACGGTGACGATGACGAGGATAAAAATGCCGAGCTGCAGACGTTAGAGGTGGAGATGATGAAGAAAGGTGATGATAAAGATAATAAAGACAAACAAACCCAATTATGAACAACAGCCACTAGGAATGGATTCATATTCAGAGTATGACATCAACACAAATGGGATAATGTATAAAGATTGTGTATGTGTGTGTGAATTTTAAATATTTTATATTGTAATGGCAAAATGACATCATAAGCTAACCAAACCAAAACCTATATCACTGAATTTAGAAAAACAAATTCATATAATAAATGTGATATTGGAGATGTAACCCACTAGCTAACATCAATCCACTAATCTATGCATTTTGTTTTTATATGTATTTTTATATGAATGTCTTAGTTATGACAAAATAAACAATTTAAAAAAACATAATTCCTCTGTGTGTTTTTCACATAACTTTGTTCTCCTGGGATTTTGTTCTCAAATTGCTTTGCAGGCTTAAAATATGAATTATTACTTAATATAATTATTATAAACATATCAAACCAATACCTTGATTTAGCTAACAAAATTAGATTACCCATGATTGTGTTTGTAGCCTTTTACTGATGGGGCAGTGGTACATTTTGGAACATACAATAAGATGCTCTTAATAATTACAGTAAAAACTGGAAACACTCTCATTTAAACATTACAATCAGTATAGTTAAAACCAGACAGTGTTGTTTGGTTTTTCACAATATTGGTTTAAAAAAGCCATTAATTGTGAGAATATTTGTCAGACGACTTGTTTGCATCACAATCAACATTTCAGACATATATTTCCTTTTGGAACAAATTATATCACATTTTTCATTTTGGTGTACTCAAGAAAGTCACAATCCTTCCAGCAGAGTATCAACATTGGGAATATTTTGTATAAAAATCCTTTATATTAGTAAATCACATTATAAATAACTACAATGCAGTTGTAATTAGTCAAAAATTTATTTCACATATACCTGTACCGTATTTTTTGGACTATAAGGCGCACCAGATTATAAGGTGCAATATCAATGAACGGGTCTGTTTTCATACATAAGGTGCATCGGATTATAAGGCGCGAAACAAGTTCATTTTGACATATTTGTGAGCGCTGCGCACCACATTGAATCGCTTCGACGTCAGTAAGCACAACCAGAATTAATACATAAGGCACACTGGATTATAAATACTACAGTATGCTCGCGCGTCCTGTCAGTCACGTGAAAACTGTGTGCACTGTCCACAGAGGGTTGAGACTTCATACTCGAGCGTTCACCCTGAGCGGCTGCAGAGCAGCTCCGCAGGCAAGGGGCGTTTACCTTCGGGACATATTGAGGTCGCCGATTGGTCATTTGCTGACACACCTACTGGATTGATTGACAGGTCGCAAAAAACAAAAAAATACAAAACGAGAGCTGGCAGCCCCAGCCGCAGCGGTGCTCTGTGTTTATATGTTGTTAATAAAAAGTTCTAAAAAATAAAAACAGGGACCACTGGCTCTGCAGCCCACGCATCAGGCCAGCCCACCAGGAAATCTCCAGATTTCACAGCCACGCTGGACCTGATTTTAATTTGCTCGTGACAAAGTCCTTCATTTCTCACCATTTCAGTCATGGAGTCAACGGAGAAGGAAGAGACCACTTACCTCTTGGGAAAAGAAAAAAACTAAAGAAAAGGCCATTAAACCAGATCAGGGATGAAGAAGGGGAATTTAATACATTGGTGTCGCATATAAAACAGTCAGTCGCTGGGCAGTTTATTGTGCAACATCAAGTACGTGTACGTGGTCGTAAAAATTGAGCTTTGCACGGACATGCCCTGCAAGCGTCCACTTCAACTCTAATCTGGTACGCGCGGACCTCCGCAGACTCACGTACGCACAAGTATACTGGAGACTTAAGGCTCACTGTGGATTTTCGAGAAAATTCAAGGATTTTAAGTGTGCCTTATAGTCTGAAAAATATGGTACTTGTAAATACATGGAGGTGAAAGCAATGATATGAAACATGGGACCATTTATCCAGAATGAGCTATCTGAAAAGTTTGTTGCAGATGGACTTCTGAAATATTTGTTGGAATAAAAGAATTGAATTATGTATACGGGGATCAAATATCGGGCAGCACGGTGGCGCAACTGGTAGAGCTGCTGCCTCTCAGCAAGCAGGTCCCTGGTTCAAACCCCGGTCCAGGGGCCGTTCTGGGTGGAGTTTGCATGTTCTCTCCGTGCATGCGTGGGTTTTCTCCGGGTGCTCCGGTTTCCTCCCACAGACCAAAAACATGCATGTTAGGCTGATTGGTAACTCTAAATTGTCCCTAGGTGTGAGTGAGAGAGTGAATGTTTGTTTGTCTCGTTTGTCTCTATGTGTCCCTGTGATGGACTTGCGACCCGTCCAGGGTGTACCCCGCCCATCGCACAGTGATTGCTGGACATGGGCACCAGCGACCCCCGTGACCCAAAATGGAATAAACGGGTAAAGATAATGGATGGATGGATGGATCAAATATCTACTTTACATTATAAAAGTTAAAACTGCATTTTGAGCCTTTTTTAAGAATATGCAAATGTTTAAACAAGTTTTTTTTTTCTTGTATGATCCTATTTGTAGATTATGAAATATTTTTGTTCAATTCAGATCCTTTTAATTAAAATTGAACTTGGACAGATTATATTACTCATGTTTTAAGGAGTAATTGGGACAGACATAAGGATTGATTATATGATACAACTTCCTACCATAAATTCTTTGGTGACGTTTTGGTTAACGAGTAACGACGTTTTCTCCCTCTGCTCTTCCTGATTGGTCCAAAAGAAGAAGAAAAAAAAAATGAGATTACATTAACCAAGATGGCTCCGGGAGACGGAGGAAAAACGATGCCAGAGTAAAACAAGAAGTGGCACAACTACACAGCAGCGTGCGTTTACCCCTCGTTTGCAGCTGATTTTAACCGGACTGTTCTGTCTTATCACCGGGGAAGCGACGGGGCCGCGCCGAGAGCTTCCGGAGTTACCGTTACTCTGCTAAATGCTAACAGGCGGCTAACATTAGCCTTCAACTGCGGAAGGAGAGTTGGGAGAAGGCTCCAAGTAGAAGCAGACGAGTCGAGCTGGTCCAGAATAAATAAGTAACGTTTGGACACTTTTAACAGCCTTGCAGAGTTAACTGTACTCAAGGTGGGGGTCTGGAAAGTGTCGTTACTTATCTGATAAGGAAAGCTGGAGAGGCGTCATCTGCTTATTGACGCCATGGCTCACTCCCCTATTCAGACTGGACTACCGGGGATCCAGGTAACCAGCATTAATACGTTTTCCTTTTTATTTTTAGAGATGTAAGTTATCATTTACAATGTTTTGGATATAGCCACTTTTCATAATAAATTAATCTGGTCACTGTGCCTCCCACAATTACTGCCTATCACCTGACAGAGTTTATGAAGTGGACACATTCACCTGCCTGAACAAACTATAGCTTGTTTATTTCCGCGTTTTTTCCTGTTTCTCTTTAGTTTTATGGTTAAATGGCACAAGCAGTTTATCTTGAGAGGTGCTGCACCGTTTCTGTGCTGTTCCTATATTTGCATTTATGATGTGAATTCAGGTGAAAAGCACAAAACAGCACAGCTTAACTGGCCACATTTCAGTTTAAATGCACTTTTTGTTAAAAAGCTCCCTCAGGGAATATGTTGGACGTGTAGCAGCATAGTTGCAATTATTGCAATTTATACAACTAGCTTAAAATTATGTAGTAAAACCATCGGAATATCATGAAACAATAAATGCTTATTGGGTTTTTTCACATTCATTGTGTTCATAGTAATTAGTTTGCATATTCATTATGTTGTTAAATTAGTATTAGCTAAAGTTATGATTTTTTTCCTAGCATTTATACCATTTATATCCATTGACTCCCTGTCAAATTCAGAATAGAATTCAAAATCTTCTAATCTGTAAAGCTCTCAACAACCTAGCTCCATCTTATATTACTCAACTTATTGTACCATATTTTCCTAACAGAGCACTTGGCTCTCAAACTGCAGGCTTACTTGCGTTTCCTAGAGTTTCCAAAAGCAGAATGGGAGGAAGATCTTCCAGTTATCAGGCTCCTCTCTTGTGGAACCAACTTCCAGTTTCTGTCTGTAACATTTTCCAGTTTTAAGACTGGGCTTAAGACTTTCTTTTTTAGTAAATCATGTAGTTAAGGTTGGCTTGTTATGCTGCCATAGGCTTAGACTACTCGAGGACAAATTGACCTAATTTCTTAAAACAAATAGTTACAAATGAGTAGTTTTCATTTGAAATTATTTTGTGATTCTCGACCTGCCATTGTGTATCTGTTCCTTTCAAACCCAGCCGGTCGAAGCAGATGGCCGCTTGTCCTGAGCCTGGTTCTGCTAAAGGTTTCTTCCTCATGAGGGAGTTTTTCCTTTCCACTGTCGCTGTTATACTTCAAGATGATAGTTCTGTGATGGAGTTAAATTCAAAGCAGTCTGCTCCTCAGATAAATAATGTTATTAACTTACTTTTTATACATATGAATGTTTCTGTTCAGTGCCCTGAGATGACTTCTGTTGTGACTTGGTGCTGTATAAATAAACTGAATTGAGTTGAATCTATACGGACACAGTTTTCCAAATCCCAGGCTTGCATTTAGAAATGTTTAAATTTGAAGCCGAAAGTAGCCACACAACCCTCAAAATATTTCATTTGCAATATAATGGGGGAGTGGTGGCACAGGTTAGAGAAGGTGGGCCTGTGATCGGAAGATCGTCGCTTCAAGCCCCAGTACTGACAACATTTTTTAAAAAATGTGGGTGGGGTGAAGCACCCACACCTGCCCCCACCCTCATTCGCCCCACTCTGGGCCCATGAGCAAGGCCCTTAACCCCCATCTGCTCCCTAAACAGGTCTCTCTTGAAAATGAGTTCTCGTGACTCAATTAGACTACCTGGATAAATAAAGGCTAAATGAAAGAATGAAATAATTAAAGCACAACTAGCAGTCACTTAAAAAAAAAAAAATCTGTAATCAGTGTTTGGATATTTGTTTCGGTAACTAACAACAAAGCTACGAAACATCTGTCCTTATCTGCGCATTATTTATTTCTCATCAACACTTAAAAATCTGTTATTTATTGCTCCAGTAAAGGTGTCGTAAACCTGCGGGCTGTGGATGTGGCAGGTCTATTCTCAACATGTGTGGTCACTGTGCTGACATTTTAAATTTCACCTGGATGACTGATCACGCCAGTGTTATGACAGGATTTTAGTTTTGTTGTTTCTAATCTGCGTATTTCTGCACAGCTCTCTTTGATGTAAAGCCCCTTAGCTCGCCAGCAAATTCAACAATCCCCTCTGCCAGGTTTTCAAAGTGGAGCTGCTCATCTCTCTTTCCTTGTAGGTTGTGCATTAGCAGTTTTACAGGAAAAGTGTTCCCATGGGTGGGGACTATAAAGCAATTTCTTGTGTACTCCAATTTATCATTGTCTTTTTGACTTTTACCTGGTCAGTTAGAAATCTGTCTTAATTGCATAAAGCCTTTTTTTTATTTTTTTTATAAAGCTACTAAAGAGTATATGTCTTAAATGTATTATTACTCATTAGATTATTCATATGTCAACTACATTGATGATGAAATGTATTTTTCTAAATGATTTATTTCGTTTTACTGGTCAATTTAGAAGCTAATATGCCCTCCCCAGTTCTCCATGGGGAAACAGGCCATTTAGCTCGGTCAATAATTTAGGATGTAGTCACTCAGTTTGTAGTGGAAGGCCATTAAGCCACAGATGACTATATTATGTTATTTTATGATGCAAGCATTACACAGGGCAGGAATTACAGTAGTCCCTCGTTTATCGTAGGTGTAGGGGATCCGTACCCTAAAGACCCACGATAAGTGAAAAAACGCGAAGTAGGAATAGTAGTACAAGTAGTAAGTAGTAGTTTATTATATATATATATA